GTGCTGATCCCTTTAAAACGTCTGCAAAGGAGAATAGAAGCGAGCCGAACTAGATCAAAATGCCCCTCACAACTTGGATGTTGTGCCGTTGGCGAATTTCCCACACGGTGTTCTTCATTTTTTGGAAGAAAGTTGACGAGTCGGTTAAGACATCACTGCCGAAACAGACTTTTACGAATTTGCACTCTGCTATGTCACAGGCCTCAGTAATTGACTCTCGCGTATATCAGAATTTTCTTAGTATAAATCGATTTATTTCAGACACGCTCGTTAAAGACTTTTCTGGCGACAAAATGTTGACGAATCGGAAAAGAAGTCTGAAAAAGGCTTTAAAAATTTGTCATCTCTGTTACGCCACGGGCTCTGATACTTGTGCGTGGTTCAATTCTACCTGTTACCATCTCCCTCGGGAAACACCTGGGACAGGTGCCCTGGGGTGGGGAATTGTTTAAGGTGGTCTTGTCCCGAGGGTAGGGGGCGGAGCAAATCAAAAAGTTGCTTTGTGCGCGTGTTTATCAAACGCAATGGCGACGCACCGCTTGCCGGACGCAGAGAGATTTTTCTGTAGGAAAGCCGATAGCTTGTTTTGGCTTGGTTGTAACAAAATAATCTTTCTAAATTAAAGCCCATATGTGAAGGTAAGTTTATTTAATACAAATATGAAATCAAAAGAGTTATACACTATTACAGATCGAGTACCTGTATATTGAGTAAAATTTTTGTTAGTCCTCTGATCGTATTTAACCTTAAAAGTTTTAAGAAAGTAAGATTTTTTGTAATAGCTTTTTACTTTGAAACATTATAGATGACTAAGTATTATCGTAACTTTTTTGGATGTCAATGTTGCGTGGAATATAAATCAGTTCTTTTTTCAATAAATGGTATATAGTTTACTCAACTTAGTATCCTTCGTTCAGTTAACTCTAGAAAAGCGATGCGTTCTTGACAAAACGTGTGTTTTTGCTATTACACAGAAACCAATATTGCCACCCTTATTGTACATACAGACATAGTTAAAGTAGATCTGAGTCCCGGGGACGGGAAATTATCTCCGCCGGTTTTCGTGCCTGGGGACGGGGAATAAGCCGCTAAGTAATAAAAAAAATGTCTAATCCTACCCCGGGGAATGCACGGGGTAGGATGGTAACAGGTGGAATTGAACCTCGCATCGGTTCTTGGTGGATGTTTGAGGGCGCAGTGATGTGGGAAGAAAAAACACTGAAATAGAAAGCAAAGGGTTTCCTTTCCAAAAGAGAAGTTAAAGAAAAGTGTAAGAGATATGATTAACTTACTAAATCTTGTCCATTANGGAAAGAAAAAACACTGAAATACAAAGCAAAGGGTTTCCTTTCCAAAAGAGAAGTTAAAGAAAAGTGTAAGAGATATGATTAACTTACTAAATCTTGTCCATTACATCGTCGAAGCCAAGGCAAGTTGTTCACATTAAACACTATCTACTTAAAACACTGATTCCAAGAGTTGTGTTTCCTGTCCGCCCAGGATTGGCCCTTGGCGGATGTCCGAATTCTCTTTCAAAGTAAAATAAGCACCAGTAAAATTTTCGACGACTATCAAAACTTAAACGAGCGCTACAACCACATTCGATGAGTGGTTCCTGTTCAAGCCACAGAAGGAAACCATGCGATTGCATGTTACTTGATTTTATTTTTCAAAACTTGAAACAAGGTTCTACGCTTCATTTAAATGGCTTCCTTTGTATCTGTTTTAGTTTTTCAAAGCGTTTTAACGCGTTTAGAACCTAATCACTTGTTGCAATTCCTCTGAATGCCCCACTAACGCCTATTTTTATTTGCACCTAAAGCAAGAAGCAGCTGCCACAAAATAAATGTATTTCTATTGTGGTGTCCG